ACCCTCAGCAAGTGCGTGTGGTAAAATGAAAGCCTGTAATTGTTTTACATGATGGTAGGTTTGCTGGTGTTTTTGTCTGTTCATAAAATATGCAAGAATTACAGGTAGTCTTGGTACTTCTACTTACACTTAGGTCACACTAACATACATGTCACGTTTTCTTTATACACACTCATATGAGTTATCTTTGATTTTTATCTTAAAAGATTTGGGTCTATTACCTTTTCCTATTATATCCATGGGGATGTGGAATAAGTAATCTTTCCTCCGTAGGCAATGCGACGTTGTAAAAGTCAACTCACAAATGCCGGGAACCCAATGGTGCTAGTAACCCTTATCCTGTAAAGATTACTAAAAAGAATAAGACGAAGACAATTGTCAAAAGTGGGAGTCTGAATGTGCGTGGATGTTGTGCAATGTAAGAAGAGATGAATGAGGATGATATGAATGTGAAGAAGATGGATGTCTGGCTTTATGTGAAACAACGCTGAGTGGGTTTGGGAGAGTTTCAATGGAGACGGAATAAATGGGGATTAGGTAGGGGTTTCAATAGAGTTAGAGCTAAAGAAGGAGTAGCCATAATGTTGACGGAAGCTATGGCAGGAAAAGAGGGATACAAATGGCATAACTTCAAGATTATGTTGGGTAAAATCAAGATAGGAAGTGAAAGTGGGTTATTAGTAAGCGTGTATGCACTGGAGAAGAGAGGAAGTGTAGAGGAGAGAGAGCGATTCTGGGAATTGTTGAGTGAATGCGTGGGGAGTTTTGAAAAAGTGTGAGAGTAATTGGTGGTGGGGTTGGGGATTTTCAATGCTAAAGTGGGAATAAAAATGTTAAGGCGGGAGTAGAAGGTAAATTAGGGGGGTGCCAGGGGGTAAATGTAAATGGGGGAGCCTTTAATTGAGCTATGTTTAGAAAGAAATTTTGGTAATAAAGTACTATATTTTATGACGAAGAGGTACATAAATATACAGGTTGATGTAGCATGTAATGAAAGTAGTTAGTTAGATTATGTATTGGTGGATAAAAGGTTGTGGGTAGGCTTCAGGGATGTACAAGTTTATCGAGGGGCAATTGATATATCATGTTCATTATTAGTTGTGTACCAGTTAGCGTAAGCGGTAGATGGGAAAAGAGGAAGGTGGCAAACACCAAGTAAGAGGGAGGTGAAACGTGTATAAACTTAGTCTGAGGAGGACGCTTCGGGAGCTAATAAGCGGACCTATTGGCGAAAGTGGGCTAGTGCAAAGTGAGTAGTGGGGGGGATTGAAAGAGGGTTGGAATAGTTTTAAAAAATGCAGTTATAGAATGTGGGGCAGCAGTTTGTGGTAATAGGAGGGTTGGGGGCAGGAGGAAGAGGATTGATGGTGGAATGATGAAGTAAAGGGTGTGATAAAAGAGAAAAAGGTTAGCGTACGAGAGGTTTTTTACAAAAGGGCAGAAAGTGTTATAAGAAAGAGCAGAGTATATGGAGAGTAAGAAAGTGACGAGAGTGGTGAGAGAGTGCAAAAGAGAGCCGACTGAAAGAGAGGGAGAGGCAATGTCAAGAACATTTAATGAAATATGAAAACAATTTGGGTGAGTTAAACAGCTTAAAGAAAGCCTAGGGAACAATTGGATTTGAGATTTAAAAACAGAGTAGGGGAGTAGTAATGGGGAGAAGGAGGTATTGGGATAGATGGCGAGAATATTTTGAAGAGGCTTTAAAATGTCGGAGAACGAAAGGAGACGGTAATTTCATGCACGGCCAGGGAGGTTCCAACTAGGAGAGAACAGACGCAGGATTGTGATGTGTGGGGGAGGCATTACATAGAATGACAGGTGGGTTACAGCAGCTGGAACAGATGGGATCATGACAGAATGTTAAAACGCATAGTGTTGGAGTGGTTGGTGGTATTTTTGTTAAATACATGTATGAAAGAGGGGAAGGTAACCTAGGGAGATGGTGGAGAGGTGTATAGGTCCCTTTATATAAAGGGCCGCGGGGGACAAACAGGAGCTTGTACAAAAGTTATAGAGGATAAGTTTTAGAGAGTATACAGGGAAAAGGCATGGTAGGGTTATTATTGAAAGAATTGAGTAAGACCGAATATAGAATTGCAGTGAGCCAAGGAGGTTTTAGAGTGGGTAGGGGGATGTGTTGATCAAGAGTTACATTGAAGCTCTATGTGAGCAGTATTTCGATAAAGGTAGTGGAATATTTTATTGAATTTAGGGATATAGAAAGCCTATGATAGAGTTGGATGGGAAGCAGCCCCTGTTGCAGATGTTGCAAGTATAAGGAAATAGGTGTTAAGTTACTAAATGCTGTCAAGAGTTTTTATGAGGGATAAAGTGAGGCTCAGGGAAGGGTGTGTAGAAGAGAGGGAGACTACTTCCCAGTAAAAAAAAAAAAAAAAAAAAAAAAACAGTAGGTTCTTACACAGGGATGTTGTAATTACCCTGCTCACACTCAAAGATAGTCAGATCCAAATACATTCGTCTCATTCATCTTCGAACACGCGCATTGCAGCCTGCTGGAAGTCAAGGCCCCTCGCCCATATAACCTGCCACTTACCCCTTCCTTTCAACCTTTTTGAGGGGACGACCCTACCCACTTCTTTTCTTTCAGATTTAATTGCTTCATGGTCATTTTACTTTGATCATTCTCTCTAAAAGGCCAAAAATCACTCCAACAAACCCCTCTTCCAGCTCTGACTAATACTTTTATTAACTCCACACCTTTCCTAATTTCCACACTCCGAATTTTTGCATAATATTTACACCAACATTGCCCTTAGACAGGACATCTTCACTGCCATCCCAACACTCCTTGCCTGTGCATTCAAACCCACTTCACACCCCTATAAGAGTGTGGTACTCACTATACTTTTTCATTCCCTTTTGCCTCCATAGCATAACGTTTTTGAATCCACATATACCTTCAATGCACACTCACTTTTTTCCCTCATTCAATTCTATTGATTAACCTTCATCTTCATAAATTCCATCGCCGAATGTTCAACTCAACGTATCTGCAAAACATTCACTTCTTCATACTCTCCTCCCAGATTTGATATCCAATTTTTTTCATCTAAATAATTTTACCCGCATCACCTTACTCTTTTCTATGTTCACATTAAACTTTCTACTTTACCCACACCTCCAAAAACTGTCATAACCTTTGCAATTTTTCTTCGGATCTCCATATGCACAAGTATACAGCAAATGTAACTGTGTCAATTCCATTTTGTATTGATTCCCATCCAATAATCCCACACTCTATCGAACACCTAGCATTTACATTTTGTTAAACCCCATCTATAAATATATTAACGACCATGGTGACATTACCACATCCTGCATAAGATAATTTTACGGGAGTAGGTCTCCCTCTCTTATGCTATGACAACCTAACTGAGCCTACTATCCTCATAAGAAAAAACTCAGTACAGCATTTGTAATTACCAACTATTCCATATACTTGCAACATCTTGCCACTTGCTTCCCTATCCACCTATCATATGCCTTTTCTAAATCCATAAAAGCAATAAAAATCCCTACCTTATCTAAATAATGTAAATAAATGTTCAAATTGTAAAACGATGATTACACATTCCCTACCACTCTAAAATCTCTTGCTCATCCCGCTATTATTTATTTGTCTTACCCTAATTTTTCAATAATAAAACCTTACTTGCACTTATTCTGGTATACTCTGTAAACTTATTCTCTATATTTTACAATCTCTTTTGTCCTTGTCATGTAGGTGGTATTGATTGGGGATATGGGAGTAGGGGGGTATGTAGTGGCGGGGCCGAGGACAGGCGAAGGTGATCGGAGTGAGTGATTAGCGGAGTTAGGTAATGGTAGGTAATGACAGCGTCAGTGGGACCACACGAACACTCACTACGCTATCACTACATATGTCGCCACTCTTCAACATATAAAATAATAAACTATGTGAAAATAGGATAGAAACATCACGGGGACAGTGAATATTACTTTCTACTCAAACACCGTTTATTATTAAGTCTTTGGACAATAATATATTTGGGCAAAGAGCATTCTTGTGGTTTAGATAAATGGGATGGTAACACATAAGCAGTGAGGACAGGGATACAATCAACTTGACCCAAAATGAATGAACTAACAATATTGTTACAGCAGGCCAGTTCATACAGGAACTAAGCCACAGGTCCAAGACCTACACAGCAAGAGTACTGCGCCAAGCCAGTACTTGCCCAATGCCTCCAAACAGTCTCCTCAGAGCTTCTGAGCCTTCTCCCGAGCCTGCACCCCTGCAAGCAGCTCCGCTCGAATCTATGCCTCAGGAGCTCTGATCCAGCAGCAGCTCCGTCGAATTCTCATGATATGCTCTTCCTTGGGCATTTTATGTTGGTCCAAGCACCTACACAACACGCTGAACGACCTGACGCTAGGTCTGAGGCGTCAAGAACAAAAAGACTCAGACGTGGGCGTGGTTCAGGAGTTTTGCAAGGCCAAGGTTTGACATTTAAAAGGTTTAAATTAGGTTCAGAGACCCTCACCCGCCAGTGGATTATCTACATCCCCATCTCCCAAATTAACTATATTGAGAACTAGGACAATTGCTCCTAGTTATTAGGACTATTTTAATCCTAATCCCCCTAAATCTATTACAAACTACAATGACCAAAATTATACTTAATACAATTATATCTCAACTCAAAGAGCTTTATCTCATCATACAGAGGCCCAAGAATTATTGCTCAACAATCCTAAAAGGCCCAGGAATTGTACTCAACACCCTCAAAGGGTCAAGGATGTCTAGCTCAACACACTCGAGAGGCCAAGGAGCTGTTGCTCAACACCCTAAATTCCAGGTACTGTTGCGTGGCACAGACACCTTTTGCTGTGATAGCAGCTGTAATCTTAAGCAGCAGTGTCTGCCTCTAGCCTCGGTTATCTGTACTTTAATGCGGAACTGACTGCACGTCTGATAACAATTATTTCTTGATAAAGCCAGGGTCCCCTGTTATCTATATCACAATGCTCTCTTGCTCTTCTGTTACATCTTCTTTTTCTTCTTTGCCTTCTAGTATATTTTTTGTTCCTACTGCTGCAGTTTCTGTTGTGGTAGCTGCAAGAATATACAACTTCACATAGCTTTATTGCTAGCACACTCAGCTAACACATTGTGGAGCATAGTTCGATCTCCGGTATGGGTGGAAACACTAGGATGTGTTTCCTTAAGACACCTGTTGTCCCTGTTCACCTATCAGTAAAATAGGTACCTAGGTGTTAGTCAACTGGTGTGGGTCACATCCTGGGGACAAAATTGATTTAATTTGCTGAAATGCTCTGCATAACAAAGGGCTTTCTATATGATAGTATGTCATTGATGTCAGCTAGGCCTGTAAACATTGCATGTACTTGTAGAAATTATTATTATAATTATGAGTTTCGTGTTCTAGTCAGGGTAACAATCCACATGAACCTCAGCATTGAATGGTACACAGACTCAACACGTTCATGCTTCGTTTTAATATCTACTACGTATTACAGGTTATATACTACACATGGATAGTTGTTTCTTATTTCTGCAACGTTATGTAGCAGTATTTGGCAAGTAATATTGTCTGTGTGAATATCCTCATAAGTATGGAGCTAGAGTCTGTGTCGTACATAAGCATCCCACTTAACGGAGTTATTCGTTTGGACGCCACAGGGAGGACAGCATAGGGAGGACGTCATATTGATGTATTCGACAAAAGCATCAAATTCCATCACTCTCTCTGCCATCTCCTTCAACAACACCACCTCCGTTTCCTCAGATCAACATCTTCGATGGCTTGTTCGGCAACGCTCTCGCCTCACACTGTCATTGGTTCAATTCACGGCACAGTGGTAACATTGGGTATGTTTCCTTACACGTGATGTCCCTCTTTACTAGCAGTAAGTAGGTACCTGGATGTTAGTGAACTGCTGTGGGTTGCATCCTGGGGGACAAGATACAAGGACCACAACGAAAATAAGACACAGTCCTCTATGACGGGATGGTGACTGGTCCACCAGGCACACCAGGAGTGGCAACTGATCCACCAGGCACTCCAGGAGTGGTGACTGATCCACCAGGCACCCCAGGAGAGGCGACTGGTCTACCAGGTACCCCAGGAGAGGCGACTGGTCCACCAGGTACTCCAGGAGTGGCAAGTGGCCCACCAGGCACTGCGGGAGTGGCCCCCCGGGGGTTAGTATAAACTGAGCACTTCCCCTGGGGTTCACTAAACCAAAAAACTGCTGCGGGTTATGGATGCCGGGGCCACCTAAGAATAGCATTTAACATCTTAGAAAGGGAAAATCATTAAAAGACTGTAAAAACCGTGTATTCAGGCCCATTTTGGGAAAGTGTGCACCCCCCTTTTTTGGGCGCCCACCCCTGGTAAAAAAATTTATAGGAAGTGAAAAGGGACTAGTCCAAAGGGACACGGGAGCGGAGGGATAGGGGAAAACATGAATAATGACATAAAAAACTATTAAGGGATTTGGACAAGGAGATGGGGACAGGAGTTTCTGAGAGGGGCCCAAAAGCAGCGCAAAAGGGCCCCACAAATGGTTTGTTAAAAGACTTCGATTCACGAGATTTTTGGGAAGAATTTCTTAGTCACAAGTAGTCGGGAAGGGAAAAAAATTGTGGAGAGTGAGGGTATGGGGGCAGGACCCATACACAGCTTTAAGAAGGACAATAAAGCTCAGGGAGCGGGGAAAGAAAGGGCCAAAGTAGAGACCAGTGAAGAGGTGGGGCAAGAAGGGGAAAATTGAGCACTGAAACCCAAAAAAATTTAGGAGAGAAACAAATATTTCACATTCATGCCCAGGTAATGATAAGGGTCAAGAAAAAACACTGTTTGAGAAAAATTTTTATGGAACAATTCTTTAAAAAAAAAAAAAAAGAAATAAATTTTTGTATATTTTAAAAACACTTTTTGAAAGACCTTAAAATGTCCCCTTGCCCTCAAAAAAAATCGATCTTGAAACCCCATGCAAGACTAAAAAAATCCCTTTTATTTGTGAAGGGAACTTTTTCGCCCAAAAAGTCTTTTTCTACGCATCAAAAAAATTTAATTTTTTCTCCATATCAGGCAATGTATAACTGAATCATAAAATTAAAAAACCTAGAAAAGGTAGAAAAAAAAATTAAAGGGAAAAAATTTCATACTTTTTAAAAACTTTATAAGAAAAAAATTTCACAAATTCAAAGAAAATTTTTTTTAAAGGTTTATAATATGCTCAATAATAACCCAAAAGGGAGGCAGAAACTCAGGAGATCAATTGATCTGTTTTTTGTGAGCCTCTTCTGGGTTTCCTTATTTTGCTGAAAAAATCCAAAAAAAAAAAGTAAAAAAAATTTTTACAGATTAATTAATCCCTGAGTTTGTCCCCAATGGGGGTTATTTTTGATTCTGACGGGTAGTTATGACACTAAGTTTTTCTTTAAAGTACGGGTTTATTAATGAAAACACGAGTGGGGCCGAAATTTTTAAAGATTCAAATGTGAGCATGGTGGTTAAGTAAACTTTTGGGAAATTTAAAAAATTTTTAAAAAAAATTATAATTTAGGAAATCACCTAACTCGGGGGGATACTAAAGAAAAAGGAATGTTAAAGGCTTAAACCTCCTTTGCAAATTAAAAGGGAAAGGAAAATCCTACATTATGACCAAAATATCTCATCCAGCCCAGGGCCCTTTTCTAACTAACACTGGAAAAAAAAAGCTGCTATTTTTCACTGTTTTCACTGTTTCTTTTTTAATTCCTTTAATTTCATGTCCTTTTCCAAATATGCACCTTTAAAGGGGTCCCCTAGATGGGCCAGTCCTCGGGTAGACCGGGGGGAAATTTCCAAGGTGCTTTGTTTTTTTTGCCTGGAAGGAGAAAAAATGAAGTTGCCACAGTACTGAACCTTATGAATTTGTGAAAATTTCTAACCCAAGGAGAAAAAGATTTTTGCAGTGGTTTTTAATTTGGAGGATAACATTCCCCCCCCCCCCCCAGGCAGTGAATGATTTCCCCCAAATTTCCCCTGTGGTTGATAGTTGTGACTTGTTTCCAGTCACAGTTTTTTTTTATTTCTTAAAAACAGTTGGTAATGTGTTTTTTGGTTTTAATTTTTCCCATTATACAGTTTTCTGTGTCTTTTTCCCTACCTGTAGTTTACTTTTTTATTAAAAATTTTTTTCAATGCTACCCTTTTAAATTTTTCCCCTTTTTTTCCTTTTTCTCCCTTTAACTTTTTGTAAAAATTTTATCTGAAAAAATTTTTTAAATTTTTTCCGGCTACCTTCTCATAAAACATTTTACTTTCCAAAGTTTTTTTAATATTTTGATGCAAAAAAAAACCCACAAAATAAGAAATAAAAATTTTAGCCTTTTCCCGTTGAAATATCAAGGTATTAACCTTAAAAGAAGTTTTTTGCTTATTTTTAATGAAAAAACATGAAACTGGTGGAAAAGACAAAAACACAAAGGGTTTTCACCCCCAAAGGAGCCTAAAAAATTTAAACTGGGATATCCTTTAATGATGCGCCTGAAAGTTTACTTTTAAAGGGAAAATAAGGTTTTATATTCAGAGCTTTCAATATAAATACACACAGAAAAGAAGAAAAAATTTTTTAATCACTGTTTTGGCCACGGGGCATGCTGTTATTCATTTTAAAAAACTGAAACATTTTCCCCACCCCCCCCTTTCAGTTTGGGCGGGCACTGCACTTCCCACCTCTAAGACCTGGTCCACCCAGTCGGTTTCCCTAAATCCCATGTAAAAAACCCTTTAAAACTCCAACATTTTTCACACCCAAAAAACTATCGGCCTCCACTTGCCCCTAACACATTTATACTGTTGCTAAAAGTCCAAGCCCCTTGAAACACAAACCCCCCTCCTATGTTCTCTACACATAGGCTGCTATGTATGACAATCTATGAAAACGGGTATTTGTGTATCCCTAAATAAAACTTACTTTTTCCCAACCCTTTTCCTAGGATGCCCTTTAAAACCTCCCCTTTCCTTCTACTCCCAAGCTTGCTTCAAACAACTCCAAGTCATTCTATTTAGTCCCCCTCCAAAGCCCAAAACTACCTAAACCCCTCCTCTCCCCTATGGAAAATACTTTTAGTAAACCCGTACCTTTTTAAATTTTCCAAGAACGGATACTTCCCCATAAAAATTTGCCCCAAACACTCCCCTCAAAAAAGACGTCTTTACAGGGCCTTTCCCAAACCTTTTTGTTTAAAATTCAAAACCCCATTTTTACACCCAATAAGATGTTGGTACACTATACTCTCTACATTTCCCAAATTTGCCTCCGGAAAACAATCTTTGTCTCCACGGGGCCCCCTTTCAGGGGAAATACTTCCCTTTTTTTTTCCCTCGTTTTTCCCAAAGCCCCATCTGCTGACAAGTTTTACTCCCAAAACTCGAATAAAATGCCAACCCCCCCACCCCCCTCCCCCCCAAAATTGGAAAACCCAGTCTTTAAATTAAACCTGAACTTTTTTTTTTACCTCATCCCCTTGCTTTTTCCCTATGTAAATCAAAATTTTCCCTTTTCTTTTAATTTTTTTTTATTAAACACTGGCCGATTCCCCAAAAGGGGCGGGGAGGGGCCCGAAAAAGAAAAACTTTCACTGTCCCTTTCCAGAAAGATTTCTTTTAAAATGCAACATTAACACCCCTCTTTCAGAGTGCAGGCACTGTCCCTTCCCTCTCCCCGGACTCAAGTCCGGCCCCGGGCCCGGTTTTTCCCTGAATCCCCTTTTATAAAAAGTTTTCTTTGCTCACACTCCAACCCGGAAAGTCCCAAATAATTTAAAAACCTTTGTCCCAATTTACTCCTATCAAACCCCGTCACGGGTGGGTGTGCTGGAAGTCCAAGGGGCCCCCGCCACAAAACCTCCCCTTTTCCCCCTCCCTCCAAAACCCTTTTCCCAAGGGCCCAACCCCCCCCCTCGCCTTACTTCCACTACAGAAATGATTACTCTTGAAGTCCCTTCTTTTTCGCTCCCTTCTCTCTCATGTCCGAACCACCTCAAAAAACCCCTTTCCCCAGCCCTCTGGACAACAGTTTTTGGGAATCCCCACCTCCTTTTCCCAAAATTTCCCAAAAAACGAAATTTTCCGGGATTAATTTCACACCACGCATTGGGCCCCCAGGGCCACACTCCACTTTCCCCCAAACCTTCTCCTTGCTGCAAAATTCAACACTAAAGCTTCACACCCCATATTTAAAAGGTTGGTAAAAATATACTCTCATTCCTTCCTTCCCCCCTTTGCCTCCCAAAGGGCAAAGTTCTTTGTTTTCCACAACTCCAAGGCAAACCCCTCACCCCTTTTTTCCCCCAATCAATTCATTTAAAAAAACACCCATCTTTTTTCCCTAGACTCAAACCCCTTTTACAACGTCCCTCCCAAATATTGAATACATTGCCTCCCCCCATACTCTCTCCCCCCAATTAGATTCCCCAAACTTTCATCCCCCTAATCTTTTTATTATCCTCATAACCTTACTCTTTCCTGTATTTTACTTTCAATTTTTTTCTTTTGATACCCTAAACCCAAAATTAAACCCCCCAACCTCTTCAATTCTCTTCAAATCTCCAAAAAGCAAAAGGGTCATCAGCAAAGAAACAACTGTGAAACTCCCTTTTTGTGTGATTCTTTATCTTTTAACTCCCCGCCCCTTCCCCAAAACCCTCGGGATTTATTCTCTTTAAAACCCCCTCTATAAATATATTAAACAACCAAAGGTTGGGCATCACAATCCTTGCTAAGGCCTACTTTTACTGGGAAGTAAAACTCCCTCTTTCCCCATATACTTTTTAAAATTGGCCTCACTATCCCCGTAAAAAAATCTAAACTGCTTTCATTTAAAATACCTCCTACAACCCTACACCTCAACATCTGCCCCCTTGCCCCCCTATTTTACCCCTTTTCATACCCCTTTTCCAAAAACCAAAATGCCCCCCCCCCCCCAAACCCCCTTTAGCCTTATTTAAATTTCGGGTTTACTTTTTATGCTTCACTGTAAAAACCTGGTCCACACACCCCAAACCCTTTCCCAAACCTCCTTTTTTCATCTTCTATCCTTTTCTCCGTCTTACTCTTAAATCTTTCAATAATAAAATTTTTCCCTACACTTTACCAGGTATTTCTCAACGACTTTTTCCCCCCATAATTTTTGCACTTCTTTTTCCCCTTTTTCCTTTATACAAAAGGAACTAAGCATGGGTCTCTTTCCAATCCCCTAAGGGGGAATTTTTTCCCTCTTCCCTACATTTTATTAAATAATTGCACCAACCACTTTCCCAAAAATTATTCCCCCCCCTGCCCTTTTTAAAATTTCCTATCTTTATCCCCTCCAAACCCGGGTGCCTTACCCCCTTTTCCCCTTTTTTCCTACGCCTCATGAACTTTCCCCCCCACCCCACAACTGGGCCCTTTCCCCACTCCTAAAAGAGTTATTCCCTTGCCCTTTTCACGAAATCAAAAGCTTTCCCCATCTTTCAACATTTAACAATTCCTCAAAAAATTCCTCCATCTTCCCAAAACCTCTAACCCCCATTTTTTAAAAACTCTAATTTTTTAAATGGGCAAAACCATTTGTTCTCTAGGTTCCTTTTAAATTGTTAATCTCACTCCAAAAAATTTTTTTTATTTTTTAACAAAAAAATTTTTGATAACAACTCATCCCCCTCTCTATTTGTCATTTTTTTTCAAATTTCTTCCCCCACTCTTTTAAAACCCTTTTTCTTGTTTCTCCCAAAATTTATAAAATGAACCCAGCTAATTCCTTTAGAAAACTCCCAAAAGCAAAGTGTCATCAGCAAAAAACAATTCCCACTTTGCGTTAGATTTTTTTGTCTTTACAACCTGCCCCCCTTCCCCAAAGCCTAGCATTCACTTCTTTTTTCCCCCCCATCTTTTTTAAAATATTGAACAACCATGGTTTACTCACAATTCCCGCCAAGGCCCAATTTTAAAATGGGAAATAAAACCCCCCTCTTCCTACATATTCTCACCCCCGGGTTCAGATCCTCGGGGAAAAAAAACTTAATTTTCTTTCAGTAACCTAACCCCCTACTTCATACACTTGCAATATTGCTTTCCCCATTCAGGCCCGGGCATATCCTTTACCAAATCCAAAAAAAAACAACAAAAAACCCTTTTTTTTTTTTTTTTTCAATTTCACCAGCTATTCCCCCCAAGACAGGGTGACCTTAAAAAAAAAAAAAATTTTTCCTTAAAATTTTTTTTTTTTCATACAGAAGGGTTTTTGGACCTAGCTCCCATTGGTTACTTTTTATATGACATATAAAAAATGTGAAACAGGGTTGCCCCTTTACAGTTGATTTTTTTCCGGTACAGCATAGGGGTGGTAACCCAACCTGCTGTATTTAAAAGGGAAACCCTCCTGTTTTTTATGTAAACGTAATTGTACATTGCCCCGTGATTTTTAAATTTTTTTGGGGCCCTCTGAAAAAAGTAAAAACACTCAGGGTTTTTTGTGAATGAAGGCCCAGTGTTTTTTTTCAGGTCACCCCGCCTTTTTGTGGGAGACAGTCCGTGGAATTAAAAAAGAAATAGACAAAAAAAAACAGGGGGAAAACTAGACTAAATAGAGGAAAAATAGATTTTACCCTTTGGGGAAAAAAATGGAAAAACAAGACTTACCACAGGCTTGCGCTCTGCCTCGACTTCCCTTTCCCCCAGCAAGGGACCTTGGGGGAAACCATCCCCTATAAAAAAAGAATTAAATTTTTAAATTAGAAACTTTCTGAAGAAAAAAATTTTTTACTTTTTCAAAACAAAGGGAAAAATGTTTGTTCCAAATTTAAATTTTTTTTTTTACATAGAACATTACTCTTTTCCCTATTAAATGAAAGTTTACAAAGCCAAATATATTTCAGTTTTAAAATAGTTTGAATTTTTTTTTGCCTTTCATTAGGGTAAAAACAAAAAATCCCGTTGACTCAATTTTTTTCCTGTAATGAATAATTTCAAATTTTGGGAATAATTTATTAATACTGTTTTAATTTTTTTTAGTTTATATCTTTTTTTTTTATAAAGCTGTCAAAAAAGCTCTTATTTTAACCCCTTTTAGGGTTGAGAGGCCCTCTCCTAAACTTATTCTCAGTAAAAAAAAAATTTTTTTGGGAAAAAAAAAAATGATTTTTTCTTAAAGAAAGGGTAAAGAATCTTTTCTGATCATAATGACCCCCAAAAATTTGAAATTTGATGGAAAAATTTAAAGGGGTTTTGCTCTCGCAAACTTTTCGGTCTCGACATGTTTAAGGGATTGGCGATTTTCGCCCCCTTTTAGCCCTAAATTTTTTGGGAAAAATTTTCCCGTGTACTATTTTAAAAAAAAACATAAAATTTCGCAAAAACTCCATTTTTTCTATTTAAAAGGAAAAAGAAAAAAACCCGTTTAACCCCAAATTTCCCAAAATCCAAAACCCGTGGTCAGGGAAAAGGGGAATTTTGCCAATTTCCCAAAAAAATTTCAAAAAATGCCCAAATTTCCCAAAAAGGGTCCAGAAAAAAAAAGAGCATTTTCCCGGGACTAAAAAAAAACATTTTCCTGGGTTTATTAGTCATGTCCCCCGGCCCCCTTTTAAAATTTTCTGTTGCTTTTCCCCTTTTTAATTTTTTTTTCCACAAAACAATAGAAAATTTACTTTTATGCCCGCTACTGCATTAGGTTTGAAAATGTTAAAAAAATAAAATCGCACCTTGTGAAAAATATCAGACCCCGCCCGTTTTTAGTTTTAAATTTGGGTGCCTGGGCCCTGATTTGTTTACTTTTGAAAAAAGGGGAAAAAACGAAAATTTTTGCTACTTTGAGCTCAATTTTAAGGTACTTTTCATTGGGGAAACCAATCAAAATATCTCAAAAATTTTGTAAAATGTCTTCCATTTTTTTAAACATTAGGCCAGGAAAAAATAAAATAAAAAACCCTTAATACCATAAAAAAAATTTCAGTTTTCAAAATCAGTGTGTTAAAAACCCAAAAAAATTTTTTTTTTTTTTGTCATTAGGCCCCTGTTTTTCTGCAGGATTTTTTTTTATACTTGCACCGACCACATTTGACCCATTCTTTTAAAAAGTAGGCCTGCCCCGCTTTTTCCCCCTTGCAGATCGGGAAAGGGGCTAAATTTATGCGGGCTAGTTTCGTCAAAAAACCCTGGTGCATAAAACGTACTAGGTACGTTTGGAAACCCTGAAAAGGGTTGACATGAAAAATTTTTTCCCGTGCTTCTTTTTACCAAAAATCCAATTTAAAAAAGAAATTGCCACCCCCCGTGGGTAAATGAAAATTGTATATGTTAAAGGCTTTTTCTCACTGTATAAATTTTAAGCTAGTACAGGAAAAATTTTCATTTTTACACTTTTTTCTCAACTCCCCCGGGAAAACGTAAAGAAAACGAATTTCAAACAAACCATTTCCAAGGGGTAATACCGGTCCCGGAGTTTTAAAAGACTTGAACACGGGTTCTATCCCCGCCCCCTGGGATGGTTTATTTCACTGTTTTAAATTTGTTTATTATTCTCTATTACAGTAATTTTTTTCGTATCCTTTTATTTTTTTCCCCCTACTTTCCCCTCTCAAGAAAAAATTTTCTCCCTTTTAAGCTAAATACTTTACTCAAGATTATTTAACCAGCTACCACATAAAAATGATTTAAAATTTTTTTACCCAAAAATTAAAATATTAATTGAAATGCACTGCATGCTAGTGTCTAACAATATTTTATTACATGTAAACTACAGTATTTTTGTACTGCTTAAGAGAAATAAAAAATTTAATTTGAGTTGAATTTGAAGGATTCAGATGAGGTTGCCAGCCACTAATTAGCAACTGAAGACTAATATTATTTGCAAGATAAGAAATACACGCATATCTTACCTAGATAATGAAAGTTGTGCCTTGCTAGACGAGGCACAACTGGAACTAGCAGAGGAATTTGATTGTCCTCGGCTGCCTCTAGCTCTGCCTCGACCTCGCCCACCACGTGATCCTCGACCTCTAAAGGGCGACAAAATAACATAAGAATGGCATATAAAACCTTTACATGTTACTTATTGAAAAACAGAGACAACCTGGAAAAAATTATTTAAAATAAGGTGTTTGTTAGTATTCTATTATTCACCAAGATTAAGCTATTCACAGAAGCCTAGGGAAAGACACAAAAACAGATTAAGATAATCTCTTGCCCAAATTCTAACAACAACATAAACAGCAAATAAACTTATAGTGGAATGTTTGCCTGGTATAGAGGCAAAAGGACCGAGTTTAGAGGAAAAAGTGTAAAACATGTGAACCATTCAGTGGTGCTTTGTAAAGGAGGGAGGGAGCTGATATGAAGAGTAAAGAGTGCTAAATTTACTTAGGTATTTCAGCACTGCTTAGTAAATAAGAAAGAGGCTGAGATTAGGAGTAAAGAGCCAGAATGTTAATCTACTGACCCTCAAAAACTAGGGATGACAGACAAAATACATGATACACTGTATTAAGGATTTTTTAAGCAACATGTCAGTGATCAACCTATACTCAAGTATAAACAATAAATAAATAATACTATATATTACTTGAACATATGATGAGATTACTAATGTACATGACAATAAAGTAAATGAAATTCAGAAGCACAAAAAAGAAAAAGAAAAAAATGTTTTAACAAAGATGCTTCAAAACCATGGCAGGAAGAGATGCTAGACTCGATGAACAATGCTTCCCTTACACAGACTTACAGCAGACTCGGGAGAGCTTGAATTAAGTACAAGTATTCCTCGACTTATACAATATGTGCTTTCCTGGCCCAGGTCGCATAAGGCAAAACAAATATAAAGAGTAAAGCACCAAGATACATTCAGGTACTTAGCATTTCTTGGTAAATTTTAGGGGAAAAAAAAAAAAAAGCATACTACATACTCACCAAACAGCCATATAACAATAATAAAAACAATTAACAAAAAAAAAAATTATTCCAAAATTCAACCATACTCCCTATACAGTGAAGACAGAGCCAGAATCAGAAAAAAATCTGAATGGGTCAAAAAGCACTTCAAGGCTGAAGGAAGCTATCAGAGGCAAAGGCAAGTAAAAGTGATAAATGAAGCTAATGAAGAAACCTAATAAGGAAAGTAAGTTGGTTCAAAAGTCAGTTTCTACACTGAAGGTAGAGCTTTCTTAGAAGAAAGAAGGCAAAGTGAGAGTATGCAGCTGCTGTTTACCTGGAGATTTACCTGGAGAGAGTTCCGGGGGTCAACGCCCCCGCGGCCCGGTCTGTGACCAAGCCTCCTGGTGGATTAGAGCCTGATCAACCAGGCTGTTGCTGCTGGCTGCACGCAAACCAACGTACGAGCCACAGCCCGGCTGATCAGGAACTGACTTTAGGTGCTTGTCCAGTGCCAGCTTGAAGACTGCCAGGGGTCTGTTGGTAATCCCCCTTATTTGTGCTGGGAGGCAGTTGAACAGTCTCGGGCCCCTGACACTTATTGTATGGTCTCTTAACGTCCTAGTGACACCCCTGCTTTTCATTGGGGGGATGGTGCATCGTCTGCCAAGTCTTTTGCTTTCGTAGTGAGTGATTTACGTGTGCAAGTTCGGTACTAGTCCTTAGGATTTTCCAGGTGTATATAATCATGTATCTCTCCCTCCTGCGTTCCAGGGAATACAGGTTTAGGAACCTCAAGCGCTCCCAGTAATTGAGGTGTTTTATCTCCGTTATGCGCGCCGTGAAAGTTCTCTGTACATTTTCTAGGTCGGCAATTTCACCTGCCTTGAAAGGTGCTGTTAGTGTGCAGCAATATTCCAGCCTAGATAGAACAAGTGACCTGAAGAGTGTCATCATGGGCTTGCCCACCCTAGTTTTGAAGGTTCTCATTATCCATCCTGTCATTATTCTAGCAGATGCGATTGATACAATGTTATGGTCCTTGAAGGCGAGATCCTCCGACATGATCACGCCCAGGTATTTGACGTTGGTGTTTCGCTCTATTTTGTGGCCAGAATTTGTTTTGTACTCTGATGAAGATTTAATTTCCTCATGTTTACCGTATCTGAGTAATTGAAATTTCTCATCGTTGAACTTCATATTGTTTTCTGCAGCCCACTGAAAGATTTGGTTGATGTCCGCCTGGAGCCTTGCAGTGTCTGCAATGGAAGACACTGTCATGCAGATTCGGGTGTCATCTGCAAAGGAAGACACGGTGCTGTGGCTGACATCCTTGTCTATGTCGGATATGAGGATGAGGAACAAGATGGGAGCGAGTACTGTGCCTTGTGGAACAGAGCTTTTCACCGTAGCTGCCTCGGACTTTACTCTGTTGACGACTACTCTCTGTGTTCTGTTAGTGAGGAAATTATAGATCCATCACCGACTTTTCCTGTTATTCCTTTAGCACGCATTTTGTGCGCTATTATGCCAAGGTCACACTTGTCGAAGGCTTTTGCAAAGTCTGTATATATTACATCTGCATTCTTTTTGTCTTCTAGTGCATTTAGGACCTTGTCGTAGTGATCCAATAGTTGAGACAGACAGGAGTGACCTGTTCTAAACCCATGTTGCCCTGGGTTGTGTAACTGTTGGGTTTCCAGATGGGTGGTGATCTTGCTTCTTAGGACCCTTTCAAAGATTTTTATGATATGGGATGTTAGTGCTATTGGTCTGTAGTTCTTTGCTGTTGCTTTACTGCCCCCTTTGTGGAGTGGGGCTATGTCTGTTGTTTTTAGTAACTGTGGGACGAAGAAATTAATTACCTGTGTTCTTAGATAAATAGTACAATCAATCTATATCTGTTTGACTGTCAATAAGACCTGACAAATTTCAGTGAAGCAACAGGTGCCTCACTATGTGATACCCAGGAGCGAATCTTGTGTACACAGGGATGAACAAGTATTTTTATACAAGTGTAGGCTGGGTCACTGAGGTTATGGTGTGGGTGAAGGGCAAGATAGGGGCACTGCAGGAAGAATACCAGGTATATTGATGACCTGTTTATGAAAGAGATGTTCATCTAAAAGTTTGGCTAAACTGAAAGCTTAATTCTATTGGATTGTACTATGCATAGGTAAGAGCAACTTTCAGCCATCAGTATTGCATTCTGTCCTGCTCCTTGATGACCAGGACTTCAGGTGCAGTCTTGTCCCTACATATCACACAAGTGTTATTCATGTTACGAGTCCTGCAGTCTTGCTGGTGTTCTTGCATCATAATCTGTAGATTGTAGGAGGTCTCATCCCCAGGTACTTCTGGTCATAGACACCAAATGACACCATGCAAACACTTGCATTACTGTGGTCAGGGACATTATCTCTAAGCCTGGTTGTCTTTGGTGGTGTTGGATGTAATGGTAGCAACATTTGTGTTGCTCTTGGAGAGGGTGGGTGTGGCATACCCTGTAAAATTGATGTTTTCTGTTTTTTCTCTTATTTCACTGAAGTAAAGATTTTGTGTGCTTTATCCCTGTTGTTTTGGATGTGTATGGGAAATTTCCCACACATGAGCAACACTGGTCTTGCTACCATCACATCCAGCACCAAACTAAACAATGTAGCCAGACACTGATGCATCAGGAAACCTGGAGATCAACCCTGAGAGCTCTTCCCAATTTTCCCTTTATACTCTAATACTCAACTGTAAAACAGATATGTATTAAATATACACAAAACTGAATAAAAGTTAAGTGGAAGAGTGATTAATGAAGTCAGGCTTTGGTGGTAGTGTGTAAGATTTCACTAAATACTTACGGTATGTGGCTTGCAAAATGAAATTAGTATGCTGTGAAAAGGCAAGAGTAAAGGGGTGGGAGTAGCAGAAATAGGTGGAGTTTATCTAGTTAAAACGGCTTGTTGATGAAACATTTAATGGTCATGACAATCAGGGACTGCAAACAACCCCGGTATGAGTGGGGTTTGAACCCATGGTGTCCTATGGCCTGGTAGGCAATGCTCTCGCTTCACACACACTGAGTGTCTGTGGTTCAATGCCCGGCAAGGGTGGAAACATTGGGCATGTTTCCTTATGCCTGTTGTCCTGTTCACCTAGCAAGCAAGTAGGTACCTGGGTGTCAGTTGGCTGGTGTGGGTCACATCCTGGGGACAAGATTGAGGATTGCCTTTCTTGGGTTATCCTGGGTAGCTAACCCTCCAGGGTTAAAAGTCCAAACAAAATCTTATTTCTTATTTTATCTTAAGTTGTAAAACTCCTGGCCATTGAGTAAGCCACTCAGCCAGCTGGCTACAATAAGATTGATCCAACTAGGTATATTTATACACCAGACATGGAGTATAGACTCGGCGAACAAAGGCTGCATACCTCATTCAAAGAGAAAGACCTGGGAGTAAGCATAGTACCTAGCACATTGAAAAACCTCTGCAGCAAATGATTGCCCAGGAAGTCTGAGAGAGGCCTTAGAGAATGTCAACAGAGTCATTCTGGGTGCTTTATGTAACATATATGAGGCCCATCCTAGAGTAACACCAGTAGGAGAACCCACAACTGAAGAAGCATGTTAAGAAACTGGAGTATGAAAAAAGACTAGTTCTAGGGGGTATGAGCTATACAGAGATGCTAAAGGAACTGAATATGACCCTAGAGAACAGAAGGACCAGAGGAGACATAATAACAACATAAAAGATACTGCAAGGAATTGATAGGGCAGATGAGACAGCTGTTAAGGGGCAGGAAACAGGTACCCAGTGGTATACCAGGAAGTCAGAGACACAGACGAGTCACAGAGATGTCAGGAAGAATTTCTTCAGTCTCAGGGTGGTGAAAAAGTAGAATAAATAACCTTGACAAAAAAATGGTGGAGGCAGACTCCATACACAGTTTTAAAGAGTAGGTATGATAGTGCCCGCAAGACTAGGAGAGAGGAAATCAGGCAGGCAATGCTAAGAACTGACATCCCCACAACCATACATAGGTGAGTATGTATCTATATGCGCACACACACACACACACACACACACACACACACACACACACACAAAAAAAAAAAAAAAAAAAAAGCTACATTTAAGGATTAATTTATTGGTCAGAAATGATGGCAGGTTGAAGAATTCACACACATAGTATTTGAGCATCACGAGTAGTATACCAATCATACCTTGAAGGTGGTGGTGGTGGTCCATTATCAAAATCCATGTCAAAATCACTTAGTACATCATCTTCATAGTTGCTGTCACTAACTCTTGTTCTTACTCTTTCTGGATTATTAAGTGCAGCAACAGCCTGTAAAAAAGGATGAACAATTATAGGGAAAAGGTTAAATTTTTTTAACACGTCGGCAGTTTCCCACCGAGGCAGGGTGAACCCCCCCATCTCCCCCCCCCAAAAAAAAACGAAAAGGAAGAAAAAAAAATTTATAATCATTCAACACTTTCATCATCACTCATAATCACCGTCTTTGCAAAGGCACTTAGATACGACAGTTTAGAAGTCCCTCCAAACTGCCAATATCCCAAACCCCTCCATTAACCCTTATACGGTCCAAATAGATCGACGTTCAAATCTGTAGTGCTCCAAAAGTAGATCTATGTTTTTTTTTAAATATTTTCAAATATAACAAAAAAAAAATGTAGATAAAAGTTTTTTTACGCATTTTCAAATGTAAAAAAAAAAAAATGTTCATTTTTTTACATACTTTCAAATGTCGAAAAAACGTATATACAGTGGACCCCCGCATACCGTACACATCACATAACGTTCAATCCGCATACCGCTCGCTTTTATTGCAAAAATTTTGCCTCTCATACCACTCAAAAACCCGCTCACCGCTCTTCGTCCGAGACGCATCCAATGTGCGCCCTTAGCCAGCCTCACATGTGCCGCCGGTGGCATTGTTTACCAGCCAGCCTCCGCGGTAACATTCAAGCATACAATCGGAACATTTCGTATTATTACAGTGTTTTTGGTGATTTTATCTGCAAAATAAGTGACCATGGGCCCCAAGAAAGCTTCTAGTGCCAACCCTACAGCAATAAGGGTGAGAATTACTATAGAGATGAAGAAAAAGATCATTGATAAGTATGAAAGTGGAGTGCGTGTCTCCGAGCTGGCCAGGTTGTATAAAAAACCCCCAATCAACCCATCGCTATTTTGGTGGTACAGCTGCTGCTTTTTACCACCGTCAGCTGGCTGCTTGTCACTCTCGTTTTCTCGCTGCTGCTGTTAGCTCCTTCGTACTGGCTGCTGCTGTAGCATCGTCTGCTGCTGCTGTAGCACTGTCAGCTGCTGCTGCTGTTGTACCACCTCAGCTGCTGCTGCTGCTGTAGTACCGTCTGCTGCTGCTGTAGCATTGTCTGCTGCTGCGTAGCATCGTCTGCTGTGCTGTAGCACTGTCAGTGCTGCTGCTGTTGTACCGCCGTCAGCTGCTGCTGCTGCTGCTGTAGTACCGTCTGCTGCTGCTGTAGCATCGTCTGCTGCTGCTGTATCACTGTCAGCTGCTGCTGCTGCTGCTTGCTGTAGCCCCGTTGTTGGTGTGGCTTATTGAGAATACCAAGAAACAATTAACCCCAGAGGATTTGCCACCAGGATAACCCAAAAAAGTCAGTGTCATCGAAGACTGTCTAATTATTTCCATTGGGGTCCTTAATTTGTTTTCCCGGATGCAACCCACACCAGTCGACTAACACCCAGGGGGAACAGGAAAAAATGCCTGGAACTAGTGCTCATATTGGTGAATTTAAACCAGAAAAGGTTGGTTTGAGAGTTTTAAGAATCTTTAGTGGCAACACAGGTGATAAGGCCTGTTCTGGAAGAAAATGCCAAACGGACCTACAGTACTCAGGAGGAAAAGGCACTCCAGGACACAGTGTCTCATCAGTCATTCCTGCATCTTCAAAAAAGGTGTCATTTATTCTTCATTTAGTAGAGTAGTACTTTCACAATATATATTGTGCATGTACTACTCTACTATTGTGCATGTATCTTCTTTTTGTGTGTAGGAAAATGTATATTTCATGTGGTAAAATTTTTTTTTTCATACTTTTGGGTGTCTTGCACGGATTAATTTGATTTCCATTATTTCTTAAGGGGAAAAAATTTTTTCGCCATACCGATCCCTTTCGCATAACAATGAGACTCTTGCACGGATTAAAATCGCTATGCGGGGTCCATGAATACATTTTGAGGAATTTTAAAGGTTGGTAAAGATAGGGAAGCGGGTGTTTTTTGGGGATAGGGCAAGGAGGAATAACATCTTGTAGGGTGAGGAAAAAGCCATTTGTGAGGGGGGGGAAGTTCGTGAGGCAGTGATAAAATAAAAGGGGGGTTTGGGGCAGGGGGATTGATGGGAAAAAGATAGAAAATTTAAAAGCAGGGGGGGATATATTTTTTTGGAAAAGGGGTTGGGTGCAATTTTTTTAATAAATGTAGGAAGGGGGGAAAGGGTTTCCTAGGGAAAATTGGCGAGACCCGTATATTTCCTTTTGTTTTAAAGGGGCCAAAGGGTAAGTTTTTTGAGTGTCCCTGGAAAAGTGAAATGGTACTTATTATTGAAAAAAATTAAGATAAGACGGAGAATGGGATAGCAGATGAACAAAAAGGGCTTTGGGAAAAGGGTTTGGGGGTGGGGACCAGGTGTTTTCAGTAAAAAACCCATAGGGAAAAGTATTTAGATAAGGCTAAAGGGGTCTTTGTGGCATTTATGGTTTTGGGGAAAAGGAAATAGGGGAAGGGGGGGATGGGGGAAAAATGTGGCGGGTTTTCGGGTGTATGGTTAGGAGGTAGGGTCCGAAAGGGAAAAAGTAAAGTTTTTTTTACAGAATATTGAGGCCAATTTAAATATGTGGGGAAAGGGGGAAATTTATTTCCCAGAAAAAAGTAGGCCTTAGAAAAGGGAGGGTGTGATTTTCACCTGGTTTTGTTGTTATATTTTTAGATGGGGTTGTAAGAAAAGTAAATGCGGGGCCCTTGGAAAAGAGGCGTGGAGTTAAAAGAAAAAAGAATCACACATAAAGTGGGGGGGTTGTCACGGGTTGCCTTTGCTGATGACACGTCTCTTGGGAAGATTCTAAAGAGAATTTTCAGAGTTTGGGGAGGGAATTTGGTAGGGTATGCAAAAGAAAAAAATTTAAAAAGTGAATACAGGAAAGAGTAAGGTTATGGGGGATAACAAAAAGATTAGGTTGATAAAAAATTGGGAGATCAGATTGGGGGAGGAGGGTATGGAGGAGGTGAATGTATTCATACATTTGGGGGGACGAGCAGCGGTGGGTCTATAAAAGATGGGGTAAAATCATAAAATTTGATGGGGGGAAAAAGGGGTGGAGGGGTGCACTTAGGAGTCTGGGAGAAAAAGGAACTTTGTCCTTGGGGAAAAGAGGGGAATTTATGAGGGTATAGTTTTCCAACGCTCTTATATGGGTTTGGAAGAAGGGGTGATGTTGTTGCAGCGGGGAAAAAGGCTGGGGCGTGGAGTTGTCATTTTCTGAGGGAAAATTTTGTGGGTGAATATAATGCAGAGAATTGTAGTTTGGAAGTTAAAAGGGAGGTGGGGGATTCCCAAAAACCGGGTTGCCCCAGAGGCTGGGGAAGGGGTTGTTGAGGGGGTTTTGGGACATGTGGGAGGAATGGAGCGAAAAAAGAATGACTTCAAGAGTGTATCATTCTGTAGTGGGAAGGAAGGGGGGGGGTAGGGCCCGGCTGGGAAAAGGGTTTTGGAGGGGGGGGGGTTAAAGGGGGTTTTTTTTTTTGTGTGCGGGGGTTTGGATTTTCCAGCAGGCATCCCGTGGGATTTTTTGATAGAGGAATGGAGAAAAAGGGTTTTTTTAATACTTAAAGTGTTTTTGGGGGTTTTACCCAAAGTAACATTTATAAAGGGGGTTCAGGGAAAACCCGGCGGGGCCGGGAATCGAGTCCTGGAGAGGGGAAGTACAGTCCCCTGAAACTCTGAAGGGGAGGGGGGAAAAATTTTTGCCATTTTAAAAACTGTAGTGTAAAGCCCCTTTTCTGGCAAGACGTGATGGAGTGAATAAAGGGTTTAAAGTTTTTCTTTTTCGGCCACCCTCCCTTGGGGGGAATTTGGCCAGTGGATAAAAAAAAAAAAAAATACATTTGGACCTTTTAAAAGGGTTAAAGGCAGGCTTTGGGTTAATTCCCCTTTTCCAGGATCGAGCCCTTTAAAACGGGTTTTCCCTAAAATTCCTTCAAAAAAATTTTTCCCCTGCTCACACTCGAACAGCTCATCGGGCCCCAAAAACCATTATTTCCATTCATTTCCCAATCACACACGCTTACGAAAGCTTGCGGGGGAAGTCAAACCCCCCGCCCAAAAAACCTCCTTTTACCCCCTCCCTCCAACCTTTTAAAGGGTGACTCCTCCCCCATCTTCCTTCCCCAACAGTTTTACATCCTCAAGTTATTTTACTTTGTTCCATTCTCTAAAGACCAAACCACCTCAACAACCCCTCTTCAGCCTTCTGTTTAATACTTTAGAAAACTCCACACCAACTAAAAAATTCTCAAAATATTTACACCCCCACACTGCCTTTAGACACATCTCCATTGCTTCCACCCCGGCCTCCTTGCTGCGCTTTTAAAACCCCATGTTTTACACCCATAAAAAGGAGTGTTGGCCCACTATACCTTGTACTTTCCCCTTTCCCTTTTGCCCCATGGATAACTTTTTTTATCCCCACAGATTTTTCCCCAAAGCACTACTCACCTTTTTTCCTTATAAAATTTTTGGGGTTTAATCATCCTATTTAAACCCATCTGCTGACAAATAAATTCCCAAAATTTTCTGAACACATTCACTTTTCCCTACTCCTCTCCCAAAAGTTTTATCCTATTTTCTTTATCTAAATTGGTTTTATACTCTCATCACCACCTTATCTATGTTCACTTTCAATTTTTTATCTTTCCCCACCCTTTTTTTTCCAAATATAAAAGATGGGTGGTTAAAAAATTTTTGGGAAACTTCTTTTCTTACTTTTACATCCACCGGGGCTTCCCCATTTTCTTTTCAATAGTTTTTTAGGCCCTGAAAAATTTTAACAATAAAAATTTAAAAACTTAGGAGTAGGATGGTAGGAAAAGCAAAATGCTCAGGAGGTATTACCGTCCTACCAAATGAGTGGTAAAATGGAAACCCGTAACTGTTTTACATGATTGTAGGAGTTGGTGCTTTTTTTTGTCTAAAAAAAACATGCAAGGTTTTAGGTACACTTTATTAGGTTCCCCACTACCATAAAAATGTACAATTTGTTATACATTATAAACCCAAACCC